AGGAGATAGTGGCAAGGAGGAGGAAAGACAAATCCCTCAGCCTAATCCTATTTCTAATCTATCTACTCACTGAAGTCTGGGGACTTGATAACACAAGAGACTTGTGCAGTCCAGAGATGAAACCCAACAGTTCTCCCTACCAGATAGTTTTCGAAGTATCAGAATGGAAATCAAAGACAAAAACAACACTTATTTTCCACTGGAAGCCTGCCTGTGTGATCCATGCATGGACAACACAGGTGAAGAATAGTTACCCAATAATATTGGAGAATTCTTCCCACACCTCTTCAACAAGATATTAATTAATTAGGACTTAGAAACATTGCTGGTTTTTGGACTGCCTGGATAGGATTCTGAGAATGACAGACCTGGAATTGAACTCTACAAAGCTTTGAGAGACAGCCATTACCTTTTGCTGGTGGGCAGTCCTGGCCTTGAGGGAGACCTGTTCCTGATACCTGCTCTCTTCCATCCGTACTGTGAGATCTGCCAGCTGCCGGTCCAGTTTCTGCTGCCGAGATGTCAATTTGAAGAGTTCCTTCTGGGGGTCAACTAATCCCTACAAGTGACAAAAAAGCCACAGAAAACCTGGTTTGGATGAGAACGCACAAATTGAAATTCAATACAGACAAGACATAAGGCCAAACAGGGTATAGGGTTGCAGCCAGTGTTGGATGGGGTTACACTCCCCCCTGAAATCAGAGGTTTGCAGCTTGGGAGTGATCCTGGACTCATTGCTGAGCCTGGAACCCCAGATTTTGGCAGTAGCCAGGGGAGCTTTTGCACAAATAAACATTGTGAGCCAGTTGCGCCCAGATCTTGGGAAGTCAGACTTGGCCACAGTAGTCCACACTCTGGTTACATCCCGAATGGACTACTGCAACATACTCTATGTGGGGTTGCCATTGAAGACTGCTCAGAAGCTTCAAATGGTCCAACGGGCGGCAGCCAGATTACTCACCAGAGTGGCATACAGAGACAGGACATTTCTCCTGTTGTGTCAGCTCCACTGGCTACCAGTCTGCTACTGAGCACAATTCAAAGTGCTTACCTGTCCAAATGCATCTTCCCCTATGAACCAGCTCGGAAATTAAGATCAACTGGGGAGGCAATGTTCTTGGTCCCCCCTCCTTCGCAGGTGAGATTGGTGGGGACAAGAGACAGGGCCTTCTCAGTGGTGGCCCCTCAGCTGTGGAACTCCCTCCCTGGTGATATTAGATCAGCCCCTTCCCTCCTGGCCTTCAGAAAGAGAGTGAAAACATCGCTTTGGGATCAAGCCTTTGGAGAAGTGCAGTAGAAGGATATGGAATATGTGCAATGACTATTGAATGGCTCTGGATTATGATTGTGGGTGGCATGGTTTTAATAATGGATGTAATGTTTTTAACGGTTTTAATGTGTATTAATTTTAACCTTAATTTAATTTTTGACAGCTTGCTTAATTGTTTCATACTGTTTTTTAATATCATCACTGAGTAGCTTTCAGCTATATTCTGTTTTAATTTCTATTGTGTGCTGTCTCAGAGGAAAAATAAGTAAATGAAGCAATCCAAATTGATCATCTCTTCATCTTCCTGTCATGAATTTCACCTGGTCACAATA